GGGGCGGCGGGGGCGGCGCGGGGTGGCGGGTGGAGCTGGGGGTGGGACCCCGGGGGTTTGGGGGTCACCCTGGTGGGGTCGCGCTCCAGGGCGGCCCAGGAGGGGCTGCGGTGGCAGCGGCAGGACCGGAGCGCCCTCAGCGCGCTGGAGGTCGGGTGCCTGCACTACTGGTGAGTGGGCGGCCTTCGGCCTCGGACTCCTCCTCGTCCTCCTCCTCATCATCCTCGTCTTCGTCCTGCTCTTCCTCCTCATCTTCATCCTCTTCATCATCCTCGCCTTCATCCTCATCCTCTTCATCATCCTCACCCTCATCCTCATCATCCTCTTCATCACCCTCGTCTTCATCCTGCTCTTCCTCATCATCTTCATCCTCTTCATCACCCTCATCTTCATCCTGCTCTTCCTCATCATCTTCATCTTCCTCATCATCCTCGTCTTCGTCCTTATTGTCACCTTCATCTCCATCTTTGTCTTCATTCTCATCCTCATCTTCATCCTCATCTTCGTCCTCCTCATCATTCTCATCATCCTCACCTGCATTTCCATCTCCATCCTCATTTTCATCTTCATCTTCATTGTCCTCATCTCCATTTTCATCCTCATTTTCATCCTCATCATCTTCATTCTCATCCTCATCTTCATCCCCATCTTCATCCTCATGCTCATCTTCATCCTCATCATCCTCATCATCCTCATCCTCATCCTCATCCTCATCCTCGTCCTGCTCTGTGCCCTCCTCCTCCTCCTCACCTTCCCCAGCCCCCCTGATTTCCCCAATCCCCCCAAACCCCCCTAAATCCCCCCCAAATCCCCCCCCACCCTCACGCTCTCCCCTCCCCCCAGGATGGTTCTGGACCCCTCGGCCGCCCGCCCCTCCCCCCACTTCCTGCGGGCCGTTCGCTCCCTGCCCCCCAAGTTCGGCCCCTCCTCGGCCCCCGAGTACCTGGAGCTGCTCTCGGCCTTCGGCACCCACTTCGTGTGGGGGGCTCGGCTGGGGGGCCGCGTGCGGGCGCTGACGGCCGTCCGGTTGTGCCGCGCCGCCATGGCCGGGCTCGGCGCCCAGGAGGCCTCCGACTGCCTGGCCGTCGAGGTGGCGGCCGGGGGCGGGGCCTGGCGGGCGGGCGCCAAGGCCGAGGCGTGCCGGAGGGCGCGGGCGGGCACCGAGGGCAACGTCAGCTTCAGCGAGTTCTTCGGAGAGAGGCTCGTCGAGGTCGAGGGCGGCGGGGCCCCGGCACGGGACGGCGGGGTCCGGTTCCAAGGTGGAGACTTCCAGTTCCAAGATGGAGATTTCCAGTTCCAAGATGGCAGCTCCCAAAATGGCGGCGTCCAAGATGGCGGCCCTCAATTCCAAGATGGCGCCTTCCAGTTCCAAGATGGCAACTTCCAGTTCCAAGATGGCACCTTCCAAAATGGCGGCACTCAATTCCAAGATGGCGACTTCCAGTTCCAAGATGGTGGCATCCAAGATGGCGGCGCCCAAGATGGCGGCGCCCGATTCCGAGGTGGCGCCTTCCAAGATGGCGGCCCTCAATTCCAAGGTGGTGACTTCCATTCCAAGATGGCGGCTCCCAAAATGGCGGCACCCGATTCCCAAGATGGCGGCGCCCGATTCCAAGATGGCGGCGCCCAGTTCCAAGATGGCGCCTTCCAAAATGGCAGCACTCAATTCCAAGGTGGCGACTTCCAATTCCAAGATGGCGGCTCCCAAGATGGCGGCTCCAAGATGGCGGCTCCCCGGGCGGCTTCCCCGGGTCTGGGCGGGGACCTCCTGTACGGGCGTCCCGAGGGGCTGCGCCGGTGGCTGTCGGAGCTGCCGGGGGCGCCGGCGCTGGTGGAGGCCGACCTGAGGCCGCTGCACACGCTGGTGCCGCGGGGGGACCCCCGGCGAGGGGCCCTGCGCGCCGCCATCGCCGCCTACCTGGCCGCCCGGGCCCTGCCCGGAAACTGCAGCTGTGATGGACAGAGGGGTGGTCACCATGGGCGGCCCAGTGGTCAACTCAACGGTCAACTCAATGGTCAATTCAATGGTCAACCCAATGGTCAACCCAATGGTCAGCTCAATGGTCAGCTCAATGGTCAACTCAATGGTCAACTCAATGGTCAGCTCAATGGTCAACCCAAGGGTCAGCTCAATGGTCAACCCAATGGTCAACCCAATGGTCAATTCAACGATCAACCCAATGATCAACTCAACAACCAACTCAAGAACCAACCCAACGGTCAACTCAACAATCAACCCAATGACCAAGCCATTGACCAACCCAACGACCAACCCAATGGTCAACTCAACGATCAACCCAATGGTGAACTCAAGAACCAACCCAATGGTCAACCCAATGACCACCCCAATGGTCAACCCAACGACCAACTCACCAATCAACCCAACACCCAACCCAATGACCAAGCCATTGACCAACCCAATGACCAACCCAACGCCCACTCCTCCTCCCCCCCCTCCTTGGCCGCCCCTCCCTGGCCGCCCCACCCGTGCCGCTGCCCCTGCTCCTCCCTCCCCCTGCCCCTGGGGGGCTCCCCGTGCTGCCCCCCGCGCCGCGGCGCCGCCCGGCTCACGGTGTGGGTGCTGGGGGGCGGGGGCTGGCGCGGGGACCCCCTGTCCCAAACCGACGCCTACGTCTGGGCCTCCTTCGGGGGCCGCCGCGCCCGCACGGCCACGGCCTGGAACGCGGCGCGCCCGCGCTGGGGGGCCCGGCTGGAGCTGGGGGAGGTGGTCCTGGCGCCGGGGCGGCGCTGGCGCTCGAGGTGTGGGACGAGGACCACGGCTGGGACGACGACGCGCTCGGGGGTGCCGGCAGGAGGTGCTGGGGGCGGGGGAGGAGGGAGGGGTCTGTTACCCCGGGGGGGGACGCCTGGAGTTCGCCTACGAGGCCGAGTGCGGCCCCGCCCTGGGGGGGCCGCTGTGCCACGACTACGTCCTGGTGCCCCCCACCCCTGATGGGGAGTTGGGGTCTCTCCCGGTGGCCCCTGGGGCCCGGGGGTGGGGCTGGGTCGGGAGGTGCAGGAGGAGGAGGAGGAGGGGGAGGAAGATCCCGACGAGCTCCTCCTGCAGAGGTTTTGGGGAGTCCCGGGGGCTCCCGGACCCGAAGACCCCGAGCCCGACCCCAGTTTGGGGGGTCCTGGACCCAAAAACCCCGAGCCTGATCCCAGTTTGGGGGAATACCCTGACCTGAAAACCCCGAACCCAACTCCCCCTCTGGGGGCCCCTAGCCCCAAAGACCCCGAGCCCAGACCCTGCTCTGGGGGCTCCCCCAGCCCAGAACCCTTCCCAGTCCCCACCAGTTCAAAACCCTGGCCTCAGGCCCATGGGGGGCTCCTGGCCCCAAAGACCCTAGCCCGACCCCAGTTTGAGGCTCCTGGCCAGCCTCCCAGTCCTCCCATTGGCCAGTGCCCCAGTTCGGACTCCCCAGGTCCGGACCTCAGTCCCTCCCAGTCCGTCCCAGTCCTCCCAGTCTGGCCCCAGTCCCTCCCAGTCCGCTCCCAGTCGGAGCCCGAGGCCGAGGAGGCCCCGAGGGGGCCCCGTTTTTGGGGTCTGGGGGCTTTCCGGGCCCCCCCCGCGGACCCCACGGACGCTTTCGGGACCCTCCCGGAGCCCCTCGGGGATTTCGGGGGGCCCTGAGAGCCCCTCCCCCACCCGGGGGCCCCAAAACCCGGGGGGAGGGGAATAAAAACGGATCTGCTGCAGCTCCGAGTGAGTGGGGGAGTGACTGGGGGGACTGGGAGGGACTGGAAGGGACTGGGAGGGGATTGGGAGGGACTGGGAGGGACTGGGAGGGATTGGGAGGGACTGGGAGGGACTGGAACGGAATTAGGAGTGATTGAGAGGGACTGGAAGGGACTGGGAGGGACTGGGAGAGGAATTGGGAGGGACTGGGGGGAACTGGAAGGGAATTGGGAGGGACTGGGAGGGGTTTGGGGGGCACTGGAAGGGACTGGAAGAGGAATTGGGAGTGACTGGGGGGACTGGGAGGGGATTGGGAGGGACTGGGAGGGGATTGGGAGGGACTGGGAGGGACTGGGAGGAGTTGGGGAGGCACTGGGATGAACTGGGATGAACTGAGATGAACTGGGATGAACTGGGAGGGAACCGGATCCACCAATCAGGAGCTCCGGGCGGGGCCTCTGAACCGACCAATCAGGAGCCGGGAAGGCTCCCACTGGGAAAGGACCAATCGGGATCCCGGGAATCCCCTGGATTGACCAATCAGGAGCCCCGGGATCCACTGGATTAACCAATCAGGATCCTGGGGATCCCCTGGAACAGCCAATCAGCAGCTGCACCATCGGGGACCCCCCAAAACACGGGGGGGGCAGTTTTGGGGGGTCCCCTCCCTTTTTGGGGGCCCCTCCCAGTCCGGCGGGGGTCAGGGAGGTTTGTGGGGCCCCTCCCTTTTGTGGGGGTCTCTCCTTTTTGGGGGTTGGGGAGGTTTTGGGGGCCCCTCCCAGTCCAGGGTGGGGTCAGGAGGTTTTGGGGCCCTCCTCTCTCGGGGCCCCTCCCGGTCCAGGGTGGGTCGGGGAGGTTTTGGGGGCCCCTCCTTTTGGGGGCCCTCCTTTGGGGCTCCCGCCCCAGCCCTCAGCTCCGTTTCCTGCGCCCTCGGCCACTTCCGCCCCACTCAACGGCCCCGACGGTACCGGGGGCTGGAGTCCCAGGGGGTTTGGGGGTCCTGGGGGATTTGGGGGTCCAGAGGGGTTTGGGGGTCCCAGGTGGGTTCTGGGGTCCGGGGAGGATTTTGGGTCCGGGGGGGTTTAGGGGTCCCAGAGGGTTTTGGGGATCCCAGGGGGTTTTGGGGCCCTGGGGTGGATCTGAGGGTCCCTAAGGGAGGTTTGGGGTCCCAGATGGGATTTGGGGTCCGGGGGGGTTCTGGGGTCCTGGGGATTGGGGTCCCAAGGGGATTTGGGGTCCAGGGGGATTTGGGGGTCCGGGGGTTCTGGGGGTCCGGGGAGGATTTGGGGTCCCAGATGGGATTTGGGGGTCCCAGGGGGTTCTGGGGGTCCTGTGGGTGCTGATTGACCCCCTCTCCCCCCTCCAGGCCATGGGCGCGCCGCCTCCCCACCCGGCCTGGGTGGCCCTCTGGGCCCTCCTGGTGGCCACCAAACCCCCTGGGGCCACCGGCGAGACCCCGGACCCCCACGGCCAGCGAGGGCCACCCAACGTCCCCGGTGGCCACCAATCCCCCTTGGGTGGCCACCACAGCCCACTGGGTGGCCACCACAGCCCCCGTGGCTCACCACGGGACACCAAGGGCCACCAGAGACCACCCTGGGCCACCAACTTGGCCTGGGGGCCACTGAGGGCCACCAACTGACAGTGGGGACCACCCTGGGCCACCAAACCCCCCCGGGGGCCACCAAGAGCCATCAAGGGCCACCAGAGACCACCCTGGGCCACCAACTTGGCCTGGGGGCCACCAAGAGCCACCAAGGGCCACCAGAGACCACCCTGGGCCACCAAACCCCCCCGGGGGCCACCAAAGGCCACCAAGTCACCCTGGTGGCCACCAAGAGCCATCGAGGGCCACCAGAGACCACCCTGGGCCACCAAAGCCCCCCGGGGGCCACCAAGGGCCACCGAGGGCCACCAGAGACCACCCTGGGCCACCAAAACCCCGGAGACCGCCAAGGGCCACCCAATCCCCAGGGGCCACCAAGGGCCACCGAGGCCACCAGAGACCACCCTGGGCCACTGAACCCTCAGAGGCCACCCAAGGCCACCACGCTCCCCGAGGGGCCACCAAGGCCACCGAGGGCCACCAGAGAGCCACCCTGGGCCACCAAACCCCCGGGGCCCTGCAAGGCCACCCAACCCCCAGGGGCCACCGAGGCCACCAACCCCGGGGCCGCAGAGCCACCCAACCCCCTGGGCCACCGAGGCCGCCCTCCCCGGGGGCTCCCCCTGGGCGGTGGCCGCGGTGGCCGTGGGGGAGGGTGGCCCTGTTGGTGGCCCTGTCGGTGGCCGTGGTGGCCTCTGCGGGGGGGCGGGGGCTGCAGGGGGTCGTGGGGGCGTTTTGGGGGTCCCGGGGTCTGGGCGGGCTGGTGCCCCCAGGAGGAGCCGGGGGTCTCGAGCCCTTGGTGGCCTCTGGTAGCCACGGGGCAAGTAGGGGCCCTCTGGGAACCTTCCGGGGAGGGGCGGGGGAGGGCGGGAGGGGGGGGCTCAACGGGGAGACCCCCGGGAATGGGGAGACCCGGGAATGGGAGACCCCGGAATGGGGAGACCCCGGGAGCCCCCGGTGAGGGGATGGGGGAGGGGAATGGGGAGGGGTTTGGGGAGGGGATTTGGGGTCGTTTTTGGGGGGTTAATTTTGGGAGGGTTTTTTTTTGGTAATAAAAGAGTTGGAGGAGGAGCCGAGTGAGGGGTCGGGACCCCGGGAATTGGGGGGTGGGGTTGGAACCCCCAAAATGGGAGCA